AGGACTGTAAAAATTTATTTTAAATTGTATGATATGTCCTAAGGGTTGCCTTTGCTTAGCTGTGGCTCCTTTGATGGGTCCGGTCATTGGGGTTACCACGCTCATCTGCTTAAAATCCTTCTGTGGCTTCAGGAAAACTCCAGTCTCCCAGCAAAGTAACTCAGCTCCTGATAATCAGACCCCCGTCTGCCTCTGCCTTTTTTGCAAGTGCTTGCTCATTGGCTCCTGCCAGCCAGCTATTCCGGGTACCTGCTGCTCCATGACCCGGTGGCCACGGTGTGCTGGACGGCCACCTACCACAGGCCTCCAGCCTTGCACCTGATGCTCCCTCTGGCTGCATCCTGCCCCTCTTCTTCCCTGATCTTACTTATTCCTAGAGTCTGCTCAAGCCCACAGCCCCTGGGCATGTCCTCGGTACGGGTGGGTCCCTTGGCTCCCTCCACCCACCCACCAGGCTGAGCCTGGGGTGAGGAAATGACTGCTTCTGAGTCCTCTTAACACACAGGTGCTCAGGAAATGCTCCTGGAATGGCTGCGTTTCTAAAATGTGGCCTCCTCCAAGGAAAAAGTGACCTGGCATGAAGGGAAAAATCATGCATTATTTGATCAAAGGGTGGAGTCGTACATACTTACTAGTTTTAAAAAGGAAAAACACACACAAGCAAATGTAAGTCGAAGTTGCTAAGGCACTGAATTTCTATTTTCAAATTTCATATGGAGCCAAGTGTGAATTTCACCACCATTAAACACAAGGAAGTTTTACATCCCAAAGGCTGCTGATCATGCACGTTCACGATTAATAAATGTGTAATTACAACAACATGATGAAGGTAAGACAATGTGGATGAGTCAGCCGGGCGCAAGCTGTTTGTACTGAAATATAAGGACAGTCTTGGCAGGGCTGCACCTGTTTCCAGAAGCTGTTCTGTTATTTTCTGGCTTTGCTCTGTACAACTCATTCTGTCCTTGCCCCCCATAACCCTGCCTGCCCTTCCGCCTCCCACCCAGCCTGGCACAGACCCCCGCTCTGTGCTCCCAGCCCCGGAGACGGCTGATGGGTATGGCTCCCATCATCTCATTCCTTCCACCGGATTGGAAGCTCTGTGGGGCACAGCTCAGGGACCAGCCATGTGTGCTTTTCAAACAAATGAAGTATATGGAAAAATGATAACGAGAAAATGAATGAATTGGTTCTAGATCTTCCTTTTGCCACACAAGCCTCTGACATCCACCCCAAATTGCCCTTTGTCCTTATGCCATCCAGCTCTGGAGTCCTGAAATTCTCCCATAATCCGAAGTTTGGTGACAAGTATGGAGGCAAACGGCATATGCTCTGCAGTCAACGGCCCCACGTTTGACTCCTGGCCCCAAGGCTTCTTACCAAGTGTGTCATCTTGGCTAAGTACCTCCCCTTCCTCAAACTCAGTTGTCCCATCTGTAAAACTGAGATGTTAATAGGACTTACCTCATGAGGCCATGGTTCCCAAATCATGCACCAAGCCACCCCAGGGTACCCCAGCAAACTCACAAGGACACCGACGGATTCCAAGATTCACAGAGATGTCTATCAGATACGGCATGAGCCCATGATGAACTCTTGAGGGTCTAGTCCAACAGGTGTCTACCACAGAGCTACAACTCTTGTGTTGGTGAGACCTAACTACTGAAAACTGTTTGCTAGTTCTCTTGTTCTGGGGACACTGGGAAATTTTTCTGGGACACTGAGGATATTGTCCACTGGGATAGGTTAGGAATGCGTGTCCCAGGGTGGCTGTGAGAATCTGATGAGACAGTACGTAAGACACTCACTGTGCGCCCACAGATGCGGGCTGGGTTCATTATTGCCCCATTTAAAATCATTATTTCAATTCTGAGCAAACTAAAACTGAAGCAACAAAATTATGAATAACAATTCAAATTCCCTTATTTTCCCCAATTACAAATTGGGATGACAGAATTGTTTAAGGAAAAATATCTGCATGGGCACAGGCAGGCACTATCCTTAGGGGCATGAGACCCTCAACCACCACTAAAATCATCCCCGGGTGCAGACCGCTAGAAGAGACTGAATAGTCCTGGAGCTTGCCACACTGGAAATCCACACCCAACATTAGCTTAATTGAATCTCTGGAAACACACCATCTTGTAATTTGAATAACTCACAGATTGTTATTGACCAAGTGCCAAGAACTCTGCTTGTAAAGAACTAAATGTACTAGAAATAATTTATTCTGTTATCTTTATTTAATGTTTTTTAATGGGTGCCCTGCTTGTCTGTTGCCAAGGTACCCACATTACATTCATTACTGTTTTTAAACCACATGCCATGACTGGGTTGGTGATTAATAATATAGAAGCGTTATGTCTTTAAATGGGAGTTGCCATGCCATTTTTACAAAAAGATTCCCATGAATCCCTAAGACTAGAAACTAGCTCTTGGTTCTAAGACACAAACACCAAAACAAGACGTTTTGGCTTTTTTCTTCCAAAGAAATTTCAAACCAACTGCATTCTTGAATCTACCTTTTTTTTTCTTTTAATTGAAAGACTAAGCCATATATTAAGTTATCTTGGAGTCCCAAGATCGTCAGAGGCCCTGACAGTCCCAGACAGAAGGAACATTTACAGGATGCCAGTGAGTCACTTTGGTATTTTGGCTGTTGAGTCTGTTTTGTTAACTGTGCTGTGATGCCTTTTCCTTTCACATCAAAAACTACTCATTGCCTCAGGAGCCCCAGAGAGTAGGAGAAAAAAAAGCCTTATATTTAGTTTGAATCTAAATCGACCTTAAGTGGTTGGTCTGTGTTTCTAAGTGTTCGAACATTTAAAAACAGTAGATTCCTGTAGGATTAAATATCCTTGTGAGTAGCGTGCACACCAAGGATTTCAGAAAGCTTTTCCATCTAAAAATTCTCTACTACTTACATCCTTGTGAGTGAGGGAGGTAAGCCTGGTAACTCTTGGTCTAGAGAGGAGCCATATAATCACAAAGAGAATACTGAGGGTTCTAGCATCCTGCTTTCCCGAAGGTTAGTCCTGGAGCCAGCGCTGAAAGTGCTGCCTCTAAAAACCATTTGAAGTCATGCAAGCAACCCTGGAATTTGGATACATTTGCTCTGTGACCTGTCACTGGTGTGGTGGGATTTTGAGGGTGGGTCTCCTGTCCTCCTTTTCTCACTGCTGTGTCTTCAGCGTGTGGACAGTATCAGGCCCGTAGTGAACGCTCAGTAAGCAGTGGAGAAATCAATAGATGATGTTCCTCTGGTGGTATATGTTATAATTCAGGGTTTTAAGGCCATTCCTTCAGTCTCCTATGCATCGCTTCGTTAATATTTACAGCGCCATAAGGGAAGCTGGCAGCATCTCCATCTTACGAATGGTCAAGCTAAGGTTCAAGAAGGCAAGTAGATCACCCTAGATCACAGAGCTAACAAGCACAAAACACAGTCACAGAGCCCGCGACAGGGTAGATGATCGAGAAAGCTTTGTTGAAGTGAACGGAGCTCTCTGGCCAGGACCACACCTCTCCGGGTACACTGGTGTTTCCCACTCATTAGGTCCAGAGCTTGGAAGGGGGAGTATGGGGAGGGCTATCAGAGAGAGGGGCAGGCTCTCCCAGCATGACTGGGTGACTGGGAGACAGGAGACCAATCTCCCCAACCCCCTGTGGTATAACCTGTTTGGGTTTCTTTTGGAAAATGGCAGGATCTGGCCAAATTGTGAGGGTTCCCCAGGGACTGGACTCTCACCATCTCCTAAGGAGGCTGACTGCTTCCAAGATATCCACTTAGGGTCTAAGGAAAGAGGCACAACAAGGTCACCCCCTAAACGCTCCAAATCCCAAGCGAACTGAGCCTGGCCACATGGCCGCTGCAGAGATTCACCCGCCCACCCACCTGCCACCCTCCTCCTGCACAGCCCACGCTGGGCTCACACCTGCGCATCCGCTTCCTTCTTTCCCCACCCTGACCTGCCTGGAGCCTTCTGCCAATTTAGCTTCCAAAACCTTGACCACAGCCCCCCTTTTTTCCAGACCATCTTGGGACTTAAATCTGTGGAGTATTCTTTGAAAGCCTCTGTCCTCTTTATTCTCATGGCCACAGTGGGTGAACGGGGTGGTCCACATGTCGCAGAGCCATGCACACCCTCTGCAGGGGGTCTGCACCTTATTGCTGCCACCGTCTTTCCAGGGTGGGTTTCCTTACGAGGAATTTAGGAGAAAATTTCAGGTAAGGACATTCCTGAGCTTGAAGGATTCCCAAACCCCTGTCATTGCCAGCATGAAAGCAGCCCAAAGCAGGGGAGGCAGCTTCCCAAGATCGGCCAGTGAGTTAACCAGGGCGGAAATTCATATTTTCCTCCTTAAACACCACACCCTCTTCTTCCCAGAAAAATCCCAGACTCATTTGGAAGAACGTCAACACCGCAGAAATGCACATGGAGCTGCTGCTTTCTGACCTTCACCTGGGAAGATGTTGTCTCCTTCCATTATGGTCACTTCCAGTTCCACCCGCACCGCCCAGGAGCCTCGGCGGCAGACGTGGTGCCCACACGTGGTGCTTTCTGCTCCTGCCGCTCAGGTGCACGCGTGGAAGGGGCTTTAGCTGAAGGTACGGACAGGACCCGGGGGTGGTTCAGGCACATGAATCCAGAATCTCTGTATCTCCAACAAGAAACACAGCTACCTCTAAAAATAATAATTTTAAAACCCCGTGAGCCAGATAATATTTTATTTAGCAGATGGGGGGTGGTGAGTAGAGCCATCCTTACTGAGAGGAAAAACGGGTCCCAGAAATCCAAATCAGACAGTCATGCCTAGTCTGGCTGCCCTGGAGAGGGGATATCCTAACCTCGGCTGGTTCTGATTGCTTCTATGGAAGAGGCCTGATATCATGAGGAGAAATGACTTTCCAAATCTATATCCGGTACAGCTGTGAGAGCTTTGCTCTTAACTGCCATTCCACTAAGAAATTAAAAAGCAATTTTCCTTTGAAGTCCTGGGGATTTTTTTTTCTTCATTTGAGATTACAGTTTGAGATAAAAAAAAAAAAGAGAGCGAGAGAGACACAAAGAATTCACAAACATGCACGCATTAGATTTGGTAAAATTCCATTCTCCATGTTCCCATTTTAAATTTCACAAAGGCCCAGATGGTTTCCAGCTTGACCAAGCTGAGGCTGGCAAGCATTGGAGGGATTCAGCTCGCAGGTTTTTCTCAAATGGAGGCATTTTATGCATCAAGCTGATCAACACTGGAGAAAATGAAGCATGCGGACTGTCTTTAAATAATATTTTATGAAGCTGTTTTAGCAAGAGGGGTAGAACAAAGGACACACACAAATCAAATGGATAAACCCATGAAGAATATGTTCCAGCATGGATTTTTAAAATTTTCAAACTTGTATTTTTTCCTCCTCAAGAGTTTATAGTCTTGTCTCAATTACAGATCCATCAGGAGACAGAAACCACAGAGTAATTTAGACAGGGAAAGTTTACTATACAGAATTGAGTAAAATGGGGGGGTGGTTAGAGTTACATGGGATTGGCTAAGAAGAAATGAAAGACCTCCCAAGAGTGTGGCATAGCAGAGATGGAGCAGCAGCCACTCTCCTAGCCCCCTCCCCAGGACCGAGATAGAGCACTCCCGGAAGTCCCCCTCCCACTGCCAAGGGCTGAGGGGTTCAGCCCAGTGGGACACGTCACAGCCACATCTCACCAGGTGGCAGACAAGTTGCCATGGTGTCACATCAATAGAACTTGCTAGAAGTCAGCCCTCTAGAACTTGCTGGAAATGTGTTCTCAGGAGTGGTTCATGAGAAGGTGGTTCTTGAGAAGGTGGTTCATGAGAAGATGGTTCTTGAGAAGGTGGTTCATGAGAAGGTGGTTCTTGAGAAGGTGGTTCATGAGAAGGTGGTTCTTGAGAAGGTGGTTCTTAAGAAGATATGCTGGGGTGCTGGGTAAATACTGGCCACTGCAGGAGCCTGCCAGCAGGACACCCCAGGGCCAGGAGGGAAAATCCCCTCCTCTGGCAACGTCTCTCCAGCAGCCTCACTGACAAATATTGTGGCAGCTGGCAAGGGAGAAATATATAAAGGGACCATGAAGGGTCAATGTGGAGCTCAGAGGCCGTAAATCAATGGCTGACACAGTCCACCCCTTTTGTACACATACTCTCCTACACAATTCCAACAACCCTATAACAACAAAACATCTCTATACTTCTTCCTACCAAAATACAGCCATGTGTCTTAGAGGTGAGAAAGTCCTTACCTTTTCCCCAAGATGAGGAGACATAGCACTTCACCAGCTGCATGGGTTGTTGGCTGGATTAATCATTCTTTACATTCATTCACTGTCTCACTGGAGCTTCTTGCATAGATTTCGAAATTAATTTCCAACAACTTATACATAAAAGAAACATGGGGAAGAGAGTGCAGAACAGTTAGCATACAGAAAAATTATGTACATATAAGCAAATAAAAATATGCCAAGTGTACGCAAAGTGCCTACAATCCTTATTTCTGTAATTTGTCATGAAGTCATGATGGTGTCTATGGCTTCTTTCTTCCACTGTTTCATGTTTCCCTTGTCCTCAGCCAGAACCTGGGTACTCTGTGTTCTCTATATAGTGGAGGAGCCCACGCCTTCATTCCCAAAGGATCTGAGTTCTTTGTCATCCTGCTTTTTGGGGGGGCAGGGAGTGCATTTCTTTAGTTTTCCATTAAACTCTACTATTAGTTAGTTCTTCCATAGAAGTGCTAAGAGGCACTCAGAGAATGCCCTGGGTCCCTGCCCCATGGTCCTCTGTGCCCCCAATGTTTAGCAGCAACCCCATATCCTCTCAGTCATCAGAGGCAATAACGCAGCCAATAGACTTCCTTGATTTTTTGCCTGTGGGTCCAGTGGTGCCAGGCCCTCACAGTGGCCATATGGAAGTGGACATCTCCTCCAGTTTAGTGAAGTAATTGTAATGTCGCTTGATGGAACCATTCTCACCTGGGAATCTAAGACCTCCAAGCCAGCAGGAACCCAAGTGCCAGGATGGCAACGTGATCTTGGACCATGCATTTTGGCTATAAGGTCTCTGATTCAAAGTGTGTGGTGCATCCCGTAAGAAAGAGCCCTGCCTTTAAACAATATGTTATGGAGCTCTTTTAGGATTGCAAGCAGAACAAGATGCCCAGGAACTGAATATAAACCAGCCAAGAATGATTCCAATTCATAATGTTGTTTACTCACTGTTGATTTATTTTCAAACATGCCCCCCCGCCGCCCCGAGCACTACTGCCTATAAAAGGAAAAGATGAAAGAAACTCTGTGCCAGGCTACATTTATTATCCTTTTCTATCATCATAATCCCACCTGGCAGGTAAGTGTTAACATCCATAGTTTGCAGAAATCCTAAAGGCTTTGAAATTAACTTACTATTTCTGCAAGCATAATTTATGTTACAACCTGAAAAAAAAAATAAGCAAAGGAAAAATGAGGTCAAATTTTAGTATGCAGTTTAACAACTCCAGACTTCGGGAAGCATTTTTTTTTTTATGATTCATGCAAGTGCTCCTGACAACCATGTCTCTGAGCTGTCTTCCACGGGAGTGGTTTTTCTGGCAAGGATTAGGGTAAAACATATGTGGGCCAGTCTCCCACAGCCACCATGGACCCTTTAGACATCTGATCTCCAAAGCCTGATAATTCCCCCAGAGAAAAGTGTTTTTCATTCTATTTTCTCCAAGAGGTGAAGGAGGAGGAAGTCATGAGGGGGGAAGAGAGGAAGAAGGAAGGCATGTTTGCTCTGTCAGACACATCTGCTCACAGGCCTCTGAGACTCTGCTCTCAGAGGACACTGGATCACTTCCTAAGAACCGTGGGGCTGTAGAGTCCTAGCTTTGGGCCCGCTGGAGACCAGAGCCCACATGAGTCTGCTGGTCGCTTGCTTGCTTGGTGCTCCCACTCCACACCCAGCTGTCCGCACCGTACTTTCCATGGACGTGGTATAGAGTTCAGCATGGCTGGCTCTTCCAGGAGGACTTGAAATAAAATGACTAAAAGTGAACATAAGGTTAAGTTGGGGACCAAGAGAAATGGCTTACAGGTTAACACGTTTAAAAAAATGTATGGTTTGGGGTGCTGTAGAATTTGAAAGCAAGAAAAAAGGAAAACCACCAATAGTTTGTTCCAAAACCATGTTTGGGGAGACACAGCAGCAGAGGGACAGAGGATAGAACAGATGCAAACCCAACCTGTTAGCGGAGCCCACCTTGCTGATAAGCGCCCTCCCCGTTCTGTCCCACAGTGATAAACGGAGCCCTTAATCTTTCACACAATGACCAAATGGGGCACCTGCTCCTACTCTGGGCAAGGATCCTTTGAAGCTGAGGCCAGCTGGAGGAGGCAGGGAGAATTCGGGATTTACTTATTGCCCATTGAGTGAACACGGATATATACCACGTGAGGACAGGAAGAGCAGAGGCAGGGGGCACCTTGTGGCTGCAGACCACAGCCATTCAACCGCCTGGGCGCAATCTCCCTCCAACCCTGGAAGGGTGAGTAGTTCTGGTGGGAGAGTGGAACAGGAGGAGCTGAGGAACTCTTCCCTGGCCAACAGATTCGATGCCCACTTGCACACACCTGTGTTTCTAAGATGGAAGGTGACAGAGCAACTCATTTTAGAGGTTATTATTGTGAAATAAAGGATTAAAGAGAGTTCTTCTTAAATTCCTCCATTACATATGCTTACGAGATTCACTGAACATAGTTTATAACAGTGAAAAATGGAGAAGACTCAACATGTTTAAATGAATTATCATCTCTAGAGTAGAATATTGGACAGAAATTTGAAACCATAGTTTAAAAGCATAACATTTACACCTGGTACCCAAATCTTGGTTTTTAATATACCTTTCAGTAAAAGGAACCAGTGTTCCTTGGAGAAATGAGAGATTCTAGGACTGGGGCAGGAAGTACACAAAATGAGCCTAGATCATCTTGTAGTGACAGGAAATAAAGAAATGCCCAAAAAATAAAAAAGGGGAAAACAGGGCACCTGGGTGGCTCAGTTGGTTAAGCGACTGCCTTCGGCTCAGGTCATGATCCTGGAGTCCCTGGATCGAGTCCCACATCGGGCTCCCTGCTCAGCGGGGAGTCTGCTTCTCCCTCTGACCCTCCCCTGTCTCATGCACTCTCTCTATCAAATAAATAAATAAAATCTTTTAAAAAAGGGGGGGGACAAATAAATGAGCAAGAGTCGCTTCCTTCCAAAGAGGGCAGTATGCCAAGGGTGGGGGGTGGGAAAGAGTAACTTTGCAGTTACTGACACACACGACCTCGGCCATGTGATCAAGGTCAACTTCAACAATAATCAGTCATGTTCAGGGTGCACACCCTTGATGTGATATGATGAGACCACACTGTTCTCCTGTCTGCTTCTTCTCAAAAACACAGAACAAATCAAGTTAAACCCAGTCAAATCAAGAGAAGAACATCAGACAAACTCCAAACAAGGGACATCCTACAAAGTACTTGATCAATACTCCTCAAAACTGACAAGGCCCTCAAAAAGAATCAAAAGAAAACAGACGAAGTCTGAGAAGCTGTCATAGCTAGGAGGAGCCTAGGGAGACCCGAGGAGCCCATGTCCTGTGGGAACCTGACAGGGAAAAGGGGCTTTAGGGAAAGACAGAGGAGATCTGAATAAAGTGTGGACCTCCGTTAATACCTGGGTAGTAATATTAGCTCATCAGCTGTAACAAGTGTCCCAGACCAATGGAAGAGGCCGACCTGAGGAGGAATAGGGCACAAGGTACACAGGACCTCCTGTGCTGTCGCCGTGAACTGATCTCCTTAAAGTCTGTATGTTGGAGCCCTAACCTGTATCACTGTATCTGTAGGAGGTAATAATTAAAGTTAAATGAGGTCACAGAGCTGGGGCCCAAATCCAAAAGGACTGTGGACTTAGAAGAAGAGGGTAAACTCCTGCTCTCTCTCCCTGCTACACAAGGACACAGCAAGATGGTGGCCATCTAAAAGCTAGAGAAAGAACTCTCACTGGATCCAATCGTGGCACCTTGATCTCAGGCTACAGCCTCCAAAATCGTGAGAAAATCAATGTTTGTCCTTTAAGACCCCTGGTCTGTGGTGTTTGTTATGGTAGCCTGAACTGACTTATACAACTATCTTCACAACTTCTCTATAAATTTAAGACTGTTCTAAAAATTGAAGTTTATCTTTTAAAAAATATAAACTAATCAACACTATTTTTTTATCTGACAGGGGTCCAAGGATGGTCATAACTCTTGTCTTTCCAATTAGCTGTTTGCCAAACCTTTACTCCTAGTGTCAGAAAATCAGTGCTTGCCCTTATGAGCCCCACCCCCAAACTGACCAAGATTCTGGAGGTCAGCTCCGTCCTAGCCCTGCTTCCAAATCCCAGGTGGAAAGAGCTGGAGAGTCTGTGAGTATCTGGAATGCACTCACTGTCCTAGGTTTTGCTGGTGGATGTTGGCAGGCATCACTCAGTGATGCTTTTGCTGGTCGGGATGTTCTTGCCCATCCATATCCCTTCCCAGGCCCCTGGGGGTATGCTCACTTGGGCCCTAGGTTTAAACGTGGGTCACACTCATTCCTTCCGCCATGGTTTCCCAAGGCACCACACCAGCCCAGAGCAGCATAGTGGGCTCCTGAGTACACAGCCTGTCTGCTCAGGACCAACGCCCCCCGACCCCACTCCTCCAGGAACCTTCGTACCAGCAGCCATAACCCCCAGTGTCAGGGGCCAGACGGGAACATAAATAAATAACGGGACCTGAGAAGAAGGAAGGCCAACTGCGGAAGAACAAATTGAAACTTTAATGTTACTGAATGACCTCCCAGTAAGGACTTTATTCTAAAGTCGAAATTGACAAAATCCAAAGGAAAGAGAGGAACATTCTTTGATCCGATTGTTTATTGGAAATGTATTCCTTTCTTGATTTGGAATAAAAATCTTGAATTTCTTTTGTACTGAAGTGTCGATAACAGTCTTGTGTTTAGCATTGCTTCTGAGCATGGGAGTAACCTATGGAGGGTGGTTTTTCTACCAGTATAATGACAGAATTCTGGTACTCCAAAGTTATCCTTTGGGATCTTAGGTTTGGTTAGGTTTTCTATGATTCTCTGTGCTAAATGGGATGGCAATTCAATAACTTGTATTAACAGCGCTTACTCCCACGGCCATATAAATGAGAGCAAGGCAAAACGAGGAATGGCAGGTAATATTCATAAAGCTTGACAACAGAAAATCTTCTTTTAAATATCAGCTTTCAGGGGCGCCTGGGTGGCTCAGTTGGTTAAGCGACTGCCTTCGGCTCAGGTCATGATCCTGGAGTCCCGGGATCGAGTCCCGCATCGGGCTCCCTGCTGGGCGGGGAGTCTGCTTCTCCCTCTGACCCTCCTCCCTCTCATGCTCTCTGTCTCTCATTCTCTCTCTCTCAAATAAATAAATAAAATCTTTAAAATAAATAAATAAATATCAGCTTTCAGCTCTGCAATGTGAGGGCTGTCATTCAGGCTGAGCCAGGAAAATGGGCCATATCATGCTGAGTTTCCCCAAAGACAATTTTGGACATGAGCTGAATCATGAACTAATATACCAACTTGGCAGACAAAGAAAAAAAAAAAAAAAACCCAAGCCTGAGAGAGATTGTTGAATTTATGAGAAAGCTGTCTTGATTCCAAGTTTGTTACTGAGGAGGGATTTTTCCGTGTAAGACCTTTACCTTTTCCGTTTAAAACACCTTTTTTTGGTACCACACCCAGCCTAGAGCACCTGACCTTTTCCCACAGCACATCCAAGTGCATGGGCCCCGGGGGAGCTGCGAGCAGGCTCAGCAAAGGAGAATGGGAGTTTTGCAGAGTCAGCTCTTCATTCCCGACACGTCCTGCTTCAGCACAGTGCATCCTGCAGAGCGACGCGACGGACAACCCACGTCCCGTGCTGGAGATGCGCTGCCACTTTGGAGTGAACATCTTGGATTGGACAACAGGCCTAGCGTTTAAAGCAACTGTCGAAGGAACCTAGCTTGTGGTCTCATGTTATTTTGACTAGTCTATGTCAGGCCTGATGACTTCACGGACTATTTCAGAGTAAGTCACTTCTCAGATATCTGGGCTTTCTCGCAAAACAGGGACAAAAGTCTGGTCCTCCCAAAGACTCTCTCAGACACCTGGAGCATTATTTCTCCCTGGACTCTCATCACTTACAGGGAGATAATGCTGCCTATGATTAACTGGTTTTACTTTTCCTTAGAACTTGGCCTGTAAGTTCTTGGCTATGACAGCTATAGGCTGAAGAGCAGTAAGTCTAGTTAGACGTACATTTTTTTTTTTTTAAGATTTTATTTATTTATTTCAGAGAAAGAGAATGAGAGAGAGCACATGAGAGGGGGGAGGGGCAGAGGGAGAAGCAGACTCCCCGCCGGGCAGGGAGCCCGATGTGGGACTCGATCCCGGGACTCCAGGATCATGACCTGAGCCGAAGGCAGTCGCTCAACCAACTGAGCCACCCAGGCGCCCTAGACGTACATTTTTAAAGACCCTTCTCCATCAGAGCGTATCATTCTCTATGGCTCACAAGCGACGAGCTGTCATGTCTCGTCAATTTTGTCACTTAATTCATAGATGCATTCCTCAGCCACATCAGTTACTGAATTAAAATTAAAAAGGCCTATGGGAGGGTGCCTGGGTGGCTCAGTCAGTTAAGCGTCTGCCTTCAGCTCAGGTCGTGATCCCGGGGTCCTGGGATCGAGCCCCACATCGGGCTCCCTACTCGGCGGGAAGCCTGCTTCTCCCTCTCCCACTCCCCCCGTTGGGTTCCCTCTCCAGCTGTGTCTCTCTCTGTCAAATAAATAAAATTTTTAAAAAGAAAAAAAAGGCCTATGGGAATGTTTCCTTTTTATAATTTACTAAATTTTCCACCATGCCTCTCTTCCTTATATTGCTCATAGATCTTATTACTATGTATATTTATGTTTCATAATAATGTCTTAGTTTGAATTCATTTGGAACCGACGTGCTTTGTTTGCAAAGTAACCATATAGCATTTTTTTTCCACCTTTGCACATCCATTGGTTTGCTCTAATTTTTCCTCTTGGAAACTACAGTCTTCTTGTTTTTATTTTTGCATTTTCAATAGGGCACAGGAAGGATATAAGAAATACCTCATTCCCCCTTTTACTACAAGAGAAGCGGCATATGAATGACAATCAGTGACAGCTGAGCACTTTGGGAAGCGGTAGAGCATGGTGGGGACTGTGGCAAAAGAACACCCATGTCCCACTAACCAAACCCTTGGGGATGTGCTGGAACCTTGGCTCAGTGTAGGACTTTGCGAGTTTTTAAAGAGAAACATGACATCAAGATTTTTGTGATTTTTAAACCTTGGCAACTAATTTAATGATAAACCAAACCAACAAAACTCCCCATCATGCAGACCAAGTCTAGGCAGAATAAATACAACTTAGAGCAAGATGGGACCTGAAGGCCCCTGTTTGAGACCCTTTCCTGGAAGAATAAGGCCTGGGGTCAAGCAAAGGCTCGGGTCCCTGGAGCGGGGTGGCGCTCCCCTGCGGGACCCGCCCAGCCGTCAGCGCATCCTCTGAGCAGACTTTCACACCAGCCTTTTGCAGCTACTGGTTTTGGCGTCCACACCACAGAGCTGACTCACAGGGCAGAGGATCCACCAACTAACTCCCTGGGGCCTGGCACATGCAGAGCCAGGCCCCACTCGCCCACAAAAGCAGCGCCGCTGTGTCCAGCGTCCAGGGTCTATAGGGCCCCGGGGAACCTGAGAACTTTGTGGTCTGCGCCTCGTCTTTGTCCATGAGACTGGACTTGAGAAAAGTAGGCAGTTTGCCCAAAGCCACACAGCTTGTCAGAGGTGCAGTGAGAGTCGAATCTCTGCGAGAGTTGGCACGGGTCCCCGAATCGGCCTCCGCCTCCCGCCCTGCACCCCAGAAGATGTACGTGCAGGGTTGCAGGGACCAGACAGCATGTCTTCAGCACCTCTCTGTTCACACGGGCTCCGTGATTTGGGGGCGAATTCTTTTCCCATATAAACAGAAAAGAGAGAAATGCGGTCCTTGGAACTGACAAGTAAAGGACACTACCAGGAAAACTGTTTGCCAAAAAAGGTGCCACATTCACGCTAGACCTACAGATCAGGTCCTTGCTTCTGTATCTGCCTTAAAATAAATTAAATTAAATGGATTAAAATACAAGCATAAATCACTAAGGAAGAATTCGTTGACTTATAATATCCGAGGGTAGCAAAGACTTCTCTAAGCAAAACCTGAAGCAAAAACCATCAAGGGAATAATCTGCTACATCAAGTAAAAACGCTTTGCATATCTAGAAACACCATAATCAAGTTTAAAGACAAATAACAAGTGGGAAGAAATTGTCCAAAGTACACAGCAAAGGTTTGATACTCTTAATGTTTTGAAACATTCACAAATCACTAAGATAAGGATAAATATAAAGAAAAGGATAAATATAAAGAAAAGGGGAAATATTTAAGGAATTACAAAGAAGAAATTCAAGGGGCCAATAAATGTATTAAGAAGTGTTTGAACTTAATTTACCAAAGACTGAATTTAGAATAATTAAGATTAGAATTTCCGAACTACTAGGTGAAACATGAAAAGAAGATTCATGAACCCCCTGGTGGGCAGAGATGTAGAGGAGAAGTATCTCTGTTGCTGGGAGAGAGTAACAAGGTTTCAGTCTGTAGAAAATCTGATCACATGCCCGGTGGCCTCTCTGAAGGCTTCCGGGAAATTATGGGAAGGGGCAGTCATCACACAGATGTAGTTCTTACTCACCTCCCTGTTATAATAATGAGAAGCTGGAATGCCCCCCAAAGTAAATATATAACTGCAGAGCCAAGCAATGAAAGTGCATGCAACCATGATATGAGTCATGTTGCAGTGTGCTTCCCACACATCCTTACATGGACACACGCTAGAAGACTTTATACCACATATGGATGCTGGCTGTGGTTGGGTGATAGGCTATAAGCAGTTTAATGAAATGCTATCTGAAGAAAAGCACACAATTTATAAATTACTGTAATAGAATGATCATATTTTAATTTTGTTCAGAAGTATAAACTCTTACAGTTTTGTTTAAACACAGAATGAAGAGTAGTCATAATATTAATATCCAGGGTATCATCTTAAGAGAAGAAAAATGAAGAATCATATAAATGGCTACACTTTTCCAAGAACACAGAATGCAGAATAAAAGGAGGGATATCACGATGACACCTGGAGTTGAGGATCAGCCGTGGACTCTGGGCCAGAGTTTATTTTCTCTTTATGCTCTCTTCTGTTCTTCCAGAGTTCCTCAGAGAATATTTACTATTTGTATAAGAAAAACATTGTTAAAAATAGTCTTTGCCTCCACTGCTTTATAAACAGAGTGACTAGCTTGGGCAGGGACAGACAACATTTGCATAATTACGGCAAACAAATTATGCTGTTCTCAGATTTGCAGATTTTATTTCCATCAATTAAATTGTTTTTCAGCTGATAGATCAGAAATCCTGTTTTTCTTTGATGCTCAGTCGTTGCACTTCCTCTGCAATAAACAATTAACAACTTTCTCTGGAAAGACGTTCAGCTACGTAAGTGCAGTGAGAATTTTACATAATTATCCTCATTCATAAATGCAGAGAGTCTTTCTTATTTTTCTGCCGACTGACAGAAACACCAAGTCCCTTTATCCTGGAGCAAAGAAGGTGAAAACGGTTCTATTTCTGTCCCAAGTGACCTCACACCGTTTCTTTGGTAAAGGGTCTGTTGCCATGGGAATGGCTTTTCCACGGAACCCTCAGGCTGCCCAAGTGCAGCGTCATTCCTCCACTGGGTCGGTGCTCGGGTTGGAAGCCATTAGGGCTGGGTGGTGGCGTGTTTGGATCAACTACAGAGGATCGGCTGCCAAAGAAAATAACTCAGAAGCTGTCACACCGGGCAAGGCGTTTGCCTCTTCTAGAAGTTTCCAGACCTCAGCTCTTATATATCAAAGACAGTTCTTGAAATAGCTTCAACTCTGTCCCGGCCATCCAGCTTTGGCCCGACAGCCTGTTGCGTGTGCAGGGAGCACACGGGTCTTGCACACTACGCAGTTGGCTCCCAGAAGCTCCTGCAGCCGAGCCTGGGGGATGCTGTGGACGCCCCAGACTCTTGGGCGCGCCTCCCCACCCCTCTCCCCACGCTCCTCAGCCCCTCTGGGACCACGTCACCCCCGGCACCCTCACAGGCAGGCCTGCCTCCCTTTCCGGGCACGGTCTCTATCCCCTCCCTGTCCGTTGCACTTGGCACACTGTGTCTCCCTCCCCCAGCACATTGTAGGGGAGAGTCCACAACTCACCAAGACCCCTTGTTTGCATGGGCTCCTCAAGAAGCAAAGAGCTCAGATTCTGGGTCCGCAGGGCAGGGTCCACGGAGCCCAGCTCAGGCCTCAGTCTCTCCCTGGCCATGGAATCCTGGGGAAGTCCCACCACTTCTCTGGATAAGGGGACACTGAGCACAGAATCTGCACCCATTGAAAGGAACAAAGATGCTGTCATTCACTGAGCACCTACTCACAGACATTTCACAGACTCCTTCTTCGTTCTTGCAAAAATCCTCTGAAATGTGCACCATCAGCATATTACTCACACGATGAGGCTCAGAGAAGTTGGGCAACATGTCCACGCTTCCGACGACGACAACCAGTGGTGTCCCATGTAGTCAGCTCCAAAACCGCACTCTTCCCTGCTTCTCCCTGCCCCTCAGGTCAAACAATAAAGCCAGCTGCCTGGACTGAACAGCTGCCCCAAGCAGCGGGATATAAATACATAAAAAAACACCAATTGGTTGGGCACAATTACTGTGTGATGAGGTGCTTTGAACTGTAGCGTTTATCCACATGGCTAATAAATATCACATCTAGGGGCGCCTGGGTGGCTCAGTCGGTTAAGCGACTGCCTTCGGCTCAGGTCATGATCCTGGAGTCCCGGGATCGAGTCCCGCATCGGGCTCCCTGCTCAGCGGGGAGTCTGCCTCTCTCTCTGACCCTCCCCCATCTCATGCTCTCTCTCTATCACTATCTCTCTCAATAAATAAATAAAAAATCTTAAAAAATAAATAAGTAAATAAATAAATATCACATCTATGTAGAAAGAATCCTAGTTAATGCATCTGCAAATGCAGCCACTGAGGAAACATGGCGTGGGATTATGTTTGAAAGGATTCAGTAAATATTAGTATTTCTTTCTTAAGAGCAGAGGCGAAGGGGGCTCCTAAGTTCCCAGTGGCTTGTGCATCACCCTTTTGTTTGTAAAAGCCTGGTTGCAAAACTCTAAATTACAGTTTGAATTCTTTTTCCATACTGGGCAGTTGGCTTCCAAGTGGGGGAAGGACTTAGCCTCCTGATGTCGACTGGAAGACTCCCCGGAGGCCACCGTGTGCTGTCTGGGGAGAGCAGAGAGCACGCTCGGCCCTCTACTCGGGCTCTGACAGGCCTGGGCTTGTGACCCCCGCTTCGCCCATGTCTGGGAGGAGATGGAGAGGATATGGAAGGCTCCGTGGGAGCAACAGGCTCAGAAAGGAGTGTTCCTTTTTCCTTCAGATCTTACTGCCTGCCAGAGCCAGGGAGACTCCTTTTATCCCTCGCAATGTGCTGGGGGAGCGCTGAGCTCACCTCAGAGGCCTGGTGACAGACTTGCCGTGATTTGGTGAGCTCCAACACAGATTGTGTGGATTTGGGCAAAATGGGACATCTGTTGGACAGGGACCTTTCTCTCACCCTGTCATCTTCCTTGGCCCCGTGTTCTAGCCCACCTGCCGCCCGCACCTCCCAACTCCATCCCCCTTTTTAAAAACACAGGTCATAAAGATAAACAGCAGACTAAATTAAAACAAAAACTATAGGGAAAAGAAAAACAATAAAATGAGGGGATCCAGGACTGAAGTCAGCACCCGAGATGCAGCCTATGAGGGTCCTTACACCTGCCGGAGGAGAGATTCGATGTGGTTCTGGGCTTTCCGGGAGCAGGAGGGGAGACTTGATCAGGCGCATGAGTCCGAAGGTCCCTGAGGAGGCAGGCGAGGGACAAGTCATTTTCGCAGAAGTGTGATGACACCTGGCTTTCCTCCTGCAATTGACCCCGGGCTGTCTGTCAATCCTCTGCCTGTCTATCATCTATCCATCTGCCTATTATCTTCTATCATCTACCTAGATCTCTTGTTACCTATTCACCACGCTTCCCACTTTCACAGAGAATGTTCAGTTCTGCTCAGTATACAGAAACTCCTCTATTTACATCCTTTCACCTTGGGAACTCTAACATCCCCAGCAGAGCTGTGACCTGAGCAGAAACACCAGCTCCACCCGCACCCGCAATGGGAATGACAGTGACCTGTATCGTGAGGCTCGGGACCGGAATACAGCAGGACTTGGGGAACTGCTCCGGTTTCGAAGACGGGACTCTGCACATTTGCTTTCCTAAGTCACAGTGCAGAATGGGATGACTTAAAAATTGTTCAGGACTTACCTGGCTGTTTCTGGGAGCTGGAATGTTGACCTCCACAGGGTGATTGGGGCATGGTTATAAACCCTTATACTTAAATTAAGCTGGATGCATGGAATAAATGCCTATTTTTTTTCAGGAACTTATAGTGGAACATGAAAATTCTATAGGTTAAATAGATATCTGAAAATGTACACCTTTGACTCACCCTTCATTCCCTGCAACTATTCAGTACAATAAAAAATAGGAAAACTGTCACGTTGTTGCTCTGTATTTAGGGAAACAGTAGCTTGCTACCCGTATTATTTTAATAACTGATTGGTGCTATGCATCTCACCCTCATCAGCCCTGACACTGAATGGAATCTAGAATCTCTTCTCCATGCATTTTTAGTATGAAGTAGAAGATAATTGTTGTTAGAGGTGAGGTTGGGATACTAATACAAATTTGACAAATTCATCATCTCTGTTGAAACGGATTCACTGCCCCCCCCACCCCGCCAGCTTATTTACTGAACTAAATTACAAAGCTTAGCCTTTGATTTTTGATTCCTTCACTTTGTTCTCAGCTCCTGCTTGACCACCAGGAGCGAGACGAGCTGATGGATAGGAGATGGATCTTTCGGCGCTGCATCGCACCTGCTGGCGGGGCCCCCGGTTGTAGCCACGTTGACTGTGGTCTCCACAGGAAGCTGCTGCTCCCTGCTGCCCAGCAGTGCGGCGCCTGGTGACCGCGCAAACGCTGGCCAGGACTGATTTTGTCCCCTGCCCTCAAGAGCACAAGTTAAAGGAACAGAAATTGCTGTTGCACCATCTTTGACTATAACCTGGTGACGTTGCTTTCCGGTTGCTTTGCAGTGTATTTAAATACCGAAGGGACCTTTCCTCGTTGCATATACTGCGTTTGTAATCTGTCTCTGCATACAGGGTCCTGCTCCCTCTGCTAGGGCATTTTTTACTTTGGAGCGGGAGACCCCTCTCATTTCACCTCTTACTGCCTCTCAGCTCTGAAGGCTGGCTCCAGCTCCTCCGTCACTCCTCCCAAGACCCCCTGAACCACAGCAACACTGTGCATGCTGCACCCACGTGTGGGGCTGAGAGGCACGATGGGGACAGTGAGACCGGGCCAGGGACACAGACTCGGGCTGGGTCAGGCAGAAGAAAAACCAGGAGGAGTCACGGCAGTGGAAGGAAGAAACGTTTCAATGAGGTCAAGGGTATTTAAAGCCTGGGACGCCTGCGTGGCTCAGTCGGCTAAGCGTCTGCCTTCGGCTCAGGTCATGATCTCAGGCTCCTGGGATTCAGCCCCGCATCGGGCTCCCTGCTTGGCGGGGAGTCTACTTCTCCCTCTGCCCCTCCCCCTGGTCCTGCTCTGGCTCTCAGTTTCTCTCTCTCAAATAAATAAATAGAATCTATTAAAAAAAAGAGGTATCAAAACCCACCAGCAGTTTAGGTAGGATGACAACAGTCATATCCGTGGAATTTGGCAACATGGTAGGCATTGATTATCTGCAGAAACGCCACTTCAGTGCATAGAGAAGGCTGGTTAGAGCGGTTCTGAATAGAAGGTGAAGCTTCACCATAACCTAGAGCTGAGAAGTGACGGGTAGCCGGAGAAGTTCACGGAATTAAGGGAAATTGTTGCTGTGCCTTTTGTTTTGTTGGTTTGTTGTAGGACAGGAGATATTAGAGTTAACATTGCCAAATGGAATGATGGAGAAGAATCTAGTGAGACCAGAGAGAGAGAGACCCGTCAGTTGGAGAGTTTTGAAGGAAGAGAGGAGAGGATTCAGAACCCAGGTGGAAGGTCTGCACCTTTTGGGAGCAGGGGGCTCCTGCTGGAGGAAAGGGAAGAGATGACAAGAGGTCACAGGTCTGTGGGTGGTGGGGTAGCTCACAGCACGGAGGCCAGGGCGTCATGGGCCAGCCCCTCTAGGATGGCCTCTTCCTTCAGACACCAGCTTTAGATGCACGGAGCTGGCTGTGCCCACACTCATCGTTTTGAGCCAAAAGCTTCATCACATGCTGAAGAAAAAACAAGTGGTTCTTGTCCCTGACATTTCTCTGGTCATCACTCACTGGTGGTTCCCAAGGAAGGTCTTTTCCGCATGCTGGTCGGCACTGACATTGCAGCTCATGACGGGGTAGGACCCCACCACCACAGGACTGGAGACAGTTGGAGCGTGAACGGCTTTTCGCCTCCACTCTGATCCTCTCATTTCAGGGGAGGAAACAGGAAGATCGAGTCCAGACTAATTGGATGGAATTTCAAAGGGATGATATAAATTTCTGCACCTGGGTTAAAAAAAAAAAATTTCTGTGCATGTTTGGAATTAGAGCAAACTTGACAACTATTGTATATGTGGGGGCTAATCTAGTTGGGAAGATCCAGTAAATGAAAATTCCAGAAGCCACCCCCACACCTTGTGTCATAGGACATCCTCCCAAAGAACTACCCAGAAGGGAAATATCTTCAGAAGCACCCAGTCCAAACCATGAGAATCATCCACATCTGTATCTTTCAGGAATTCCTGTGGTCACCCACACCAGTGGTTTGAGATGAAAAATTGGCCACAATAAGCCAGTTGACCTGTAGTCTCTGGATGAGGTCACTCATGCCCTAGTTGGGAGGAACTCCCTCTGGACAATCCACATCCTGTGCACTTGAATTTACTGAGATTTCCTTATTTTAGCAACATAATCTAGGTCACTCTTTCAATAACTAGTCCTCTTAATTTGATTTTGAAGTCAGTAGAACAGGGCTCTACCACACAGGACATATTCAAACCTACGCTCCTACTCAACTGTAAAGTAAGTCCAATACTTTGTATTGTCAACCTCACCAGATAATCAGGAGGCACAGAGGAAATACTGCTGAGAATATTTGCAAACACGCAAGTTCTCCAAAAGGTATAGTTAGCCCTTTCTGACTGTCTGTATCACACCTCAATTAACTAGAATAACTTGGGGCTAGGTTTCTGGTTAATTGAATTGGAGGGTTAATCAAATAATCTTTTTGTTTCAACCTATGTTAGTTAAAAAGTTCCTAAATGGTTTGTCCACTTCCAATCTTTAGACAGCCTCTAGGGGGCAACTCACAACCCCCTTTGACTGAGGGGAGGGACACAGGAGTGCAAGGTCAGGCATGAATGGTCTGGGCTGAACAAGAGGGATAATGGCCCCATTAATAAACCTGTTAGTTTCTGATCCATTTCCCCGCGGAGACAGGCCCCACGGAGACAGCTGGCATGTCCGTCTGTCCACAGCGGGACCCTGAGGGCAAACACAATGTCTTACCTTCAGCAGGTGTTCAATTAATACTTGTTACATGAAGAAGTTTCTGATATTAATCTTGTTTTTACTTCTTTTTCTTCCAAAATAGAGAACAATTCATAATATTGATATTCTAATTGGCTGAAATAATTGAGGGTCTTACCATCTTCAGAAAATCATAATTATTTTCAAATGGAAAATCAGAATATTCCAAGAATGACCATTGATTGCTCTGTCTACATGAAATCGGCACAAAAAGTAAATTAAGAACTTTTTTAAAGCAACAGTTCCTAACGTCTGACTTCACAGAGGCAAAGCCCAGAGGCTGTTGCTGGCTTGGTCCAGGACTCTGGGTGTTGTGGGAAAAAGTAGGCAGAGAGATGGACGTCAAAGTTCGGCCAGATGAGACCTGGGTCGGGTTAATGATGAAGAGCAGAAAAGTCCGGGACAAAGAGAGGTTTCTAGGCAAGCAAATGCTAGAGGCCTGAAGAAAATTGTCCACCTCTTCTATTATCGTACAG